CTATTGCATGAGGAGAGATTAAGATTTCTGAAATTGTTTTATTTTTCTAAAAATAAGTTAGAGGGGGTCTGATTGAGGTATTTAAGATTGTAAGGGAATTGATAGTATTGATGCATCATCTTTTTTTTCATAGTTAATGGCAAGAGTAGTAGGACAAGAGGACACAAATATAAATTTTGGTAAGGTAGGAGTCATCTTCAGCTAAAACAGTTTTATTTTTCTAACAGGGTGGTTAGCCTCTGGAATGGGTTGCTCTCGGATCTTGTAGAGGCAGTAAATTAAGTGAGTTTAAGAAAAAGCTTGATAAGTATATGAATGATAAAGGCTAACACCACGATTTTTTAAACTTATTTATTTAATGGTTTTAGTTTAGTTTAGAGGATGGGACAGCCGAGATGGACCAAAAGGTCCCTTGTTCTCCCTAAACATTGTTATATTATACGTGAATAAGTGTGTTGTAGTTTTATTTCACTTCTTCAAACATAATAATGCACTGTATGCTACAAAGTACTAATAACACAATGATAGGTAGGATATAGACAAACATAATCTCTTCCATTAATTGGAGAATTATGTATCAACAGAAAAATAAAATGATAAAACAGGTTCTTTCTAGTGAGTTCCTGTACATTCTGGTCCGTTGGACCTTACTTTACCATCTATAAAACTAACTAAAATTAACAATATTACTAATACTAACAGTAATAGTACTAACACCATATAAATATTAGTAATACTAGTGTACTAGTAAATGAAATTCACTTCAGACTACCAATACCACTGCACCAGTAACAGCTTTGATTTTTCTTTTCTCAAATTCAAGCGTATGAGATTATGAGCAAGTAACTACAACTTAGATGTACCAGTCAATTGTCTAGTAATATGAAACTATAGTATAAGTTACATTAACAAGTTAGATGGTTATAATGTTTTCATTTCGTGAGAACTTCAACGATGGTAGTTAACGATTAACCTACGCGTACATAATATATAAACTACAATAATGACACTATACTGATAACATTCACGACAATAAATACTAAAACGTTAAAAAATACCATTCACTATGGGAATGTGAATACTAGATTTTCCAAATACACTATTTGCAAGAGTATATCCATATCTGAAGTAAACCGCCATCTTCGTTTATCTTGAAACATCTGTAAAGTGTATAAATAACCAAGTCAACAACAATATGAAATGTAAAAATTGTTAACTTTTGTTTTCAACAGTAATGCTTAATATTTCTTTATTTAAAACCTGTTCCAATAAAATTCAGATGATGTTTATATAATAATCCATGTTAAATTTTGAATATAAATATATATTATTAATAGTCGTTTTATGAAGTGTTACGTCTTTGGTCGTTTGTTAATTTCCGGTATAAATTCTTCCTATCTTAAAAAAAACTAATTTATTCTTTCTCAATACAACTTTGGAATACACAGGAATTCCACGGTCACTTTAACTTAAACACACGCTATAATTCACAACGATTCACGCACTTTACTTAAGGTCACTACCGCTCACTTGACTCAATTATCTGTCTCTATATCTCTCTATCTGCAATTATGATCCCCGCTTTATTTGCCGGGTTATATATTAAAATAGAGGGCGTCTAGAAAAGACCAGAGTTGCCAGGAACAGTCATGATCCTTCTAGAAACTCCAGCGCGCATGCTTCCAGCGTTGCATGACTTCCGCGGTCTTAACACTGCTCCTTCCTTAGTATTGTTCGTCCCGAACAATAGCCACTTACATTAAACCAATAGATAATTAACAATAAATTAATTAAATATATAGAATTTACAAACACAAAATTAAAATTCAACAAAGTCTCTTGATTTTACGGGACGTATCTTCTTCCGTACTGGTCTCCGTCTCGTTGGCTTCTGCTTCACGTGGGGTTCATCTGTTCCATTAGGAAATGTCCAATCATCGGTAACAGACACATCAGTGGTAGTAACTTCATTAAGGGATTCACTCTTTCCCTTCTCAAAACCGGGTAGAGTTTCTTCTTCAACAGTGGCTTTTTTAGATGACATGTCTCCAGCAGCGTCATTTGTTCCATTGTTCACTTCGTTCCAACTGAAATGTCCTGGACCGTGATAACGCCAAAGCCTGTTGGCATGCACCACCTTTGGCTTTCCTCGCCGACCACATTTTATTCAGAAAGTCACGTCTGAGAGACGATCCACTATGTCATATGGGCCTTCCCATGGAGAAGACAACTTAGGAGACTTCCCTTTGATCTTCCTGGGATTGTACAACCAACATTGTCTCCTAGTACAAAGCTGACATCAGTAGATCTCTTATCATAACATCGTTTCATGGAATCAGCAAAGGTTTTCCAGTTTGAACGCACTTGATGATGAATATTATCCATCCTTTCAGATAACACTTTCACGAACTCTGACACATTTTCAGGCAAGTCTTCGTAAGGTGGGCGTTCTGTTATCAGATCCATTGGCAACCGAAGCTCCCGACCAAACATCAGCTTTGCTGCAGTGTATCCAGTGGCTTCATACTCTGCTATTATATAGGCCATCAACTGTGAAGGGAGTAAGACATCCCAGTCATCTTGGCGGCTATTACAAAACTTTGCCAATTCCTGTCCCAGTGTCCAGTTGTACTTTTCTACCATCCCATCAGACTGTGGATGAAATAACATTTTCTTGGTCTTTCGTATGCCAAACAACTTGCAGCATTCATGGAACACAGCTGATTCAAAGTTACGGCAGTTCGTATGGCACAACAAACCTGAAGAAGAAATCACTAATAGCCGAAACTACAGTTGTAGCTTCCTCATTTGGTATTGCATATGCCTCAGGCCATTTGGTGAAATAATTCATCACTACACAAATGTACTTGTTTCCAGCACGAGTTTGGGGCAAAGGACCAGCAATGTCAACAGCTACTTTTTTCATTGGTGCGCCAACTTGATATAACATCATTGGAGTACGTCCCTTATGCTTGGGTCCCCTTTTAGTACAACATGTACTGC